AGAGAGAAAGAGAGTTATATTAGAGATGAGAGTTTTAGAGTTTTAAAAGGAATGAAAGTCTAATTAAAATCAGAATCGTCGAATCAATAATTCTCAAACGATCTGAGCCGCAAAAATCTCAAGACAAATAAATCTAATTATTTTATTATATGGATTTTAAACCATGCGTTTGAACTGTTTATTATATAGATTGAATTATATATATAGATATAGAAATCAATATAAATATATAGGACAACATATGTTAATGATTATATTTTGTTATATATATTTTATTAGAGTTTTAATAGATATTAGAATATATTTTGTTATATATATATATATATATATATACGTCCAAATCAATCTCTTAAATGGGGATGAGGAGAGATAAAAAAAAATGTAACAGAGTCTTGTAGAAATGTAAATATCTCTCCAATAGTTTAAATGAGGATAAGGAGAGATAAAATGAATATAGTAGAGTCTTGTATGAATGTAAATTAATTATAATCGTCGGATCAATAATACTAAATCAATCTGAATTGCAAAAAGCTCAAGACAAACCAAGCTAGCTACTTTATTATATAGATATATATTGTTCTCATTTTTTCCAAAATTTTCAAAGAAAACTCTGAAAACAGGCTACACTTGTTTTTTGTTTGTTTGACTTAAATCTAATTTTTTTTTCAAAATTTAGAGAACAAAAATGTTAAACAAACAGGTTTTGGTATTTTTAAAATTTTGAGAACAAAAAACTGTTTCCAAGATGATATCCAAACATGGCCTAGAGTTTTGTTATCTATCTAATATTATAGTTAGGATTAATTTATATGACATAAATTTATCGCAAAGTGAACATTTTCTTTTGTATAATGATAGTTTTACTCAATGAGCCCAGATTCAACTGGGTCTAAGCCCAATTAATGATATAAAACCAAATCCGCTAAAAGAAAGATCAAGCTCAAGTCATGGAATATTAGAGTACGTCGGGAGCAATCATCAGAATAGTCACTCTCCTAGATAAAAACTATTTATAATTGTACCTATCATTAGCTTTAGTTATCCTATTCGAAAAACTAGTAACTTACTCATCACATTACCGCCTCAACCAAGATTTTATATCTATAAATTGTAAGTTCTCTCCACATGAGAAAGACACACCTCTACACCTCATACACACTATCTTTCTTAGCTTCCTCACCACACCTAAGGCATGTTTGTTTCAAGTATTATATAAGCCTAGTATTGAAAATGTATTCCTTACATTCCTAATACCAATGGATATTAATACCGATAATAAAAATTATTTCAATCTTCTCTCATATTTGTTTATTCAATAGGTATTATGGTGGATCTCATAAACAACTATTTATTCTATCACATCTTATATAACAAATATACTATTTTACCCTTACTATCATCCATTCAAAATAATTTTAAAAAAAAAAAATTAAAAAAAAACCTGTGACACTGTACGATTAGACATAAGACAAGAAAAAAATTCAAAATAATTTTAAAAAAAAAAAAATTAAAATCGATAGCACTGTACGCTTATACATAATATAAAAAAAAAGTTCAAAATAATTTTTAAAAAAAAAAACTAAAAAACAATCGTTAACACCGTATGCTTAAACATAATACAAGAAAAAAATTTAAAAATTTTTTTAAAAAAATTAAAGAAAAATCGGTGACGTCGTATGCTCAAACATAATAAAAGGAAAAAATTCAAAATAATTTTGTAAAAAAAAATTAAAAAAAAACTATTAATATCATTCGCTTAAGCATAATATAAGAAAAAAATTCAAAATAAATTGTTTATATGTGAACTCTTCACATAGGAGGGCTTTTGTATCATTTTATTTTCTTATACCATCATTTCATTTGTACCGAGAAGATAATACCACCTAGTATGTGATATTCATTAATACCATGTAGAATGCATTAAGGACACTGTTTAAACCGGGTCGGTATTACGACCCAAAAAATAATACTAGCTATAAAATGCTAAACAAACAAGGTATAAAGTAGGTCCTACATACTATTTCCGTAATCTCACCTACTTATACCACTCTTATCCCCAAAACAAACTAGCCCGTAGAGTTTACTCATGCTCTCCCCTCAACTACTTTTTCAATGAAGTCTTTCGGCATCCATGCCACCTTTAAAGTGGAATAAGTTACCCTGACCAAACCACTCTATATCTGTATATTGNCCTATTCGAAAAACTAGTAACTTACTCATCACATTACCGCCTCAACCAAGATTTTATATCTATAAATTGTAAGTTCTCTCCACATGAGAAAGACACACCTCTACACCTCATACACACTATCTTTCTTAGCTTCCTCACCACACCTAAGGCATGTTTGTTTCAAGTATTATAAAAGCCTAGTATTGAAAATGTATTCCTTACATTCCTAATACCAATGGATATTAATACCGATAATAAAAATTATTTCAATCTTCTCTCATATTTGTTTATTCAATAGGTATTATGGTGGATCTCATAAACAACTATTTATTCTATCACATCTTATATAACAAATATATTATTTTACCCTTACTATCATCCATTCAAAATAATTTTTAAAAAAAAAAATTTTTNGAATTCCTCACAAACTAATGGATGCTTTTGCTTCCATTTCAAAATCTCACTCATTGTCTCAGAAAATTGGATGGGATGATGATTACAGTGCTAGGAAGAACAATTACATGAACGTACCAAACGGACGACAAGCAACAATTTTGAACCAAAAATTTCTAACCCTAATGTTGAATGTTGAACAATCAATCTTTNACTGTACGATTAGACATAAGACAAGAAAAAAATTCAAAATAATTTTAAAAAAAAAAATTTAAAACCGATAGCACTGTACGCTTATACATAATATAAGAAAAAAGTTCAAAATAATTTTAAAAAAAAAAACTAAAAAACAATCGTTAACACCGTATGCTTAAACATAATACAAGAAAAAAATTTAAAAAAATTTTTAAAAAAATTAAAAAAAAATCGGTGACGTCGTACGCTCAAACATAATAAAAGGAAAAAATTCAAAATAATTTTGTAAAAAAAAATTTTAAAAAACTATTAATATCATTCGCTTAAGCATAATATAAGAAAAAAATTCAAAATAATTTAAAAAAAAAAAATTTAAAAACAGTAACCTCGTACGCTTAAACATAATGTAAAGAAAAAAATTCAAAATAAATTGTTTATATGTGAACTCTTCACATAGGAGGGCTTTTGTATCATTTTATTTTCTTATACCGTCATTTCATTTGTACCGAAAAGATAATACCACCTAGTATGTGATATTCATTAATACCATGTAGAAGGCATTAAGGATACTGTTTAAACCGGGTCGGTATTACGACCCAAAAAATAGTACTAGCTATAAAATGCTAAACAAACAAGGTATAAAATAGGTCCTACATACTATTTCCGTAATCTCACCTACTTATACCACTCTTATCCCCAAAACAAACTAGCCCGTAGAGTTTACTCGTGCTCTCCCCTCAACTACTTTTTCAATAAAGTCTTTCATCCATGCCACCTTTAAAATGGAATAAGTTATCCTGACCAAACCACTCTATATCTGTATATTATTTGTGTTGATCTCTTCCATATATTTACTGAATTAATTACCTATATTAATTGCTTGACAGGTGGTGCTTAAATCTATTTTTGTGCATCATCAATTATTGTAAATTCTTTCGGTTCTTTCATTGTGATATTTTCTAGTATTACATGGATTATACCTATTTACACAAATACCTCAACAATTACCGCTCGTAATACATAAAATCCAATAAGCATATGAATAGGTACGGAAATGGAATCCCAATAGCTGGAGACACTAAATTCATATGAAAAAACATAAATAAGCTGGCCTTCGCTTAAGGCTCCAAAGTACATGAATTCCTCACAAACTAATGGATGCTTTTGCTTCCATTTCAAAATCTCACTCATTGTCTCAGAAAATTGGATGGGATGATGATTACAGTGCTAGGAAGAACAATTACATGAACGTACCAAACGGACGACAAGCAACAATTTTGAACCAAAAATTTCTAACCCTAATGTTGAATGTTGAACAATCAATCTTTAGTAGTGTCCATAAAAATGAATTAGAAGGCAAAAACAAAACACAAAGAAGAAGAAAAAGAAAAGCATAGGACATATGTTCAATTCTCTGTTATATGATATATGAATGAGACTTAAGAAGATAAAAGAACAAATCAAACAAAGATATAAATATACGACACTTTTTTGCTGGTATACATTATACTTGGTATAACCGTCATATTTGACATGTTTTCAAGTCTTATTGATACTTTATGGCCTTCAAGCATCTAATTGGTTTTCATTCTATGACAAACATAGGAACCGAACTCTTAAACTCAAAACTCCCCTTTGATTCCATGCTACAATTATATCACTGTGCTATCACTGTTTTAGTACAATGTTTGAGCATCTGAATTGAGTCCACAAGATCTGAATCTTGATATGTAGGGTTTAAGTCCTATTAATGTGGGTTCTACGATGCAAAGCAAAATTAAACACAATCCAAAACTGCATTGACAAGTTAACATTCAGGTGTAAATCAATACATATATCAAAGAATAATAAACTTTTTGGCGGTGCCATTACAGCATCATTACAAGAAAGTACGTTAAGTCTCACTGCAGGCTCAAATAACATAGCCCCCACCCCTACCCCCAACAAACAAAACCCCAAAAAAAACCCAAAGAGACAGACATAAATAAAGTCTTTGGCACAACTACAAGATTGAAGTCAATATTTGCAGTACAATCACATATAAAAAAACAACTGAGAACCTTACTCTTCAACAGCATGGGTTTATGCTACGCCCTTGGATAGTCTTAATTAGTTTATCCTCAACAGGTGCGCACATGCACAAAAAGACGAATTGCAATCTAGTGCAAAAAATTTTATATAATCATAGCAAAAGTTAAAAATTATCATTTTATGAGAAAGCATTATAAATCATAATATCCCTCTATTTCTCCACAAAAGACTTGATTTTTCCCAACCACCAAATAAGCTCAGTTCTACCCTTTTTCATCATAAATTCATGCAGGAATACACAAAGGTCAACCTTTACCCCCCTTGCCTTCAAGAACTCATGAAGTGCATTTTGAATCTTCTTATCCAAATTCCTAAAAGCAATTAAATACATAAATCAAAAAGAGTCACCATTAAACCCAGAATTGCTAACCAAACAACAAAACCATGCATGTCTTTTCCATTGCCAGGAAATTTTAGGAAAACAAGTGAAATTAAGAATTCTCAAAACACCCAAGCAGAACCCGTACTAAGTTTTGCTTCATCATCATAAGGTCTACAATTTTGAATCCAAGCAACTTATCATCTAGCCNAGGAAATTTTAGGAAAACAAGTGAAATTAAGAATTCTCAAAACACCCAAGCAGAACCAGTACTAAGTTTTGCTTCATCATCATAAGGTCTACAATTTTGAATCCAAGCAACTTATCATCTAGCCTACCCAAGTAAAAATATAAATGGGCTTCAGAATATAAAGGATGTAAATTGGGCTGGAAAAGGAAACGAAATCCAAAGGAAAATGCTTCAAAATTGGTTCTTTTATAAAATAAGAAAGAAGCTAATTATGTTGTCTTAGCAATGTACGAACGAAGAAGAAATAAAATGTTAATACCTCAAATTAGGTCCCATGTAAGGCTGAGCCAGCAACCCATCACGCTTAAAGAAGTAAACTTTCTGAATCTCCAAACAATCTGGCCACGCCGAGCACACAAACTCCAGTGAATCACAGCCTTCCCCCTTTGATATATCAACTAGTAAGCTGATGTGAAATCACATATCGTCCCCAGTACTATCATCCCCCGATTTTGGAACTAACACTGACCCATGAAACATTGTAGCCTCAATTTTTATATCCTCATCCAATGCAGATGTACCCCTCAAGGTAATCCACTGTTCACCAGGTCGATCTTCCACCATATACAAATCAAACTTTTTGGCAGCCTATATACAATGTCCAGTCCAAATAAGCGGAAAGTAAAGATCAGAAGTGCTTATTGAAGACTTTAGGAGAAGATCAAAGGAATCAAAACTGTGAATCTCTTAGCAACCAAACACAGTGGAGAGATTCATATCCCAAAGAAAAAGGGCGAATCTCTCCATCGTGTTTGGTTGCTAAGAATTGTATAGGAAAAAGAGAATTTATTTGCCTACATAGCCAGCTATTTGCTTACACAGGACCCCAAGAATACCAAAATGATCATTCAATTATATCTTATCAAAGCCTTTGGGTCAGTTGAAGAGAATAATTCACTTTCAAAACCTAAAAATAGATATAAACTTACTCATGTAATTGGTTCCCTGAGCAACCCAAATTCCATTTCCAAGTGAAATCCATGCTGCCAAACACATCATCAAAGCACTCTACTTTTCTGGTCGCTATATTTTTCTCCCCCACCAAACACACATCATTTTGTTCCATTTGTCGGAATTCCAAAAACACAATCCTCAGGTGGCAAAACTTACTGTGTGAGAGTCAACTTATGGCAAAACATACTTACTTATTCGACTTAAATAGGGATAAGAGTTTATCTTTCAATGAACAAGACACACACTAACTAGTTTTATTCAAAGAAATCTTTTCTTATTTCATCTTTTATCAACAAGTTCACACTCACACACATACACAATACACATACACACTTTTATTTGGCTTAGATGTACAAGTGATTTATATTTCACAAAGAACTTCACAAACACACATTGGCTTTATTGTGATACTAGCAATATCCCGTCCTTGAAGTCACTTTATAATACTAAAAATTGAGCATTGATCATACAATTGGATTGAGTTGTCTAGCATTGAAAGTCGTCTTTGAGCTGGAAAAAAAAATTCGGAATGAATTTTATACCATTGGATTGAGGTAGATGAAAATTAGATCAATCTTGACCGTTGTTGCCCTTTAATAAGTTGGGAATTCAACTTCCAAGCTGATTACATAGATTGATTAACCTTTTGGAAACAACCCAATACACAAAGTCACATGCACACACTCTTCTTGTTTGTTCTCCTTTCTCATGTAACAATCAATGATCAAGTATAATCCAGGCTACTATGCATATCCAATTAGCTAAATTGAGTACTTATCAAAAGCATTTACACTTTATCAAAGACTTAACAAAAGCATCAAGTACATTAACACTAAAGAATCTTATCCAAGGATATATGTTCCCTTTCCTTCAAACAGAAAATTATCGAAGTGGGTAGTGTGTTGCTACCTGTTGAGGAGGAGCGTATTCGGACTGGTACTGTATCTCATTGCGGAGGATTCTGAGAATATTCGACTCGAAGGGTGACTTTTGGGGGGTCGACATGTGTGGCTCCGGGAAAATTGGGCCAGAAAATTTGAGATGAGTTCGATTGGTTGGCGAGGAAATTGTTGCTGGTGTTGAGAAATTAGGGGTTTACAGGAAGAAAGAAGTGATCTCCTGGAAGCTTGGAGATACCGAGCCATGCCTGTTAGTCTGAAATTGACCAATATTGGAAGAAGACGGTTTAGGAGGGTATTGTGGGCTTGAGCTTGGAATTTCACTTTACTTACTCTTCAACCATTGAATTTCTGAAGGTTTGAGGGTGGCCTAATGGCCACCGTTTTGCTCTTTGATCGGATCAAACCTCGTAGTTCCACACTTTATAATAGTGCCCGACAAAAAAAATACTATTGAATTTCCTNTCTTCAACCATTGAATTTCTGAAGGTTTGAGGGTGGCCTAATGGCCACCGTTTTGCTGTTTGATCGGATCAAACCTCGTAGTTCCACACTTTATAATAGTGCCCGACAAAAAAAATACTATTGAATTTCCCATATTGTGCCTAAAATATGATTATTAGTTTTGAATTAACATGAAACAAACACTAATTTTCTTTTTTGATGAAAAAGTAAAACAAGCTACATAAAATTAAAAAATAAAATAACTTACTATTAAATTTAACACGACATTAATCAATAATCTAATGTGAAATTTGTTATTCTAGGAAGAGCAATCCGATAAGAATTTTTTCTCACTATTATACACGTGGAGTTATAGACACTTTACTTATAGATAGAGTGAATAGGTTTTTCAATTTTAGTCCAATTGATTATCAATAAAAACATAAAACACCACAATTACCTATTTCCATAAAGATATAGCAATTAATATAAAAAACTTTTACTCACCACAATCCAATTTAAACATAGAATTGATTTTAATTAAGAGTAATGCTACATGGATTTAAAAATTAGATTTAAAAACTAAACTTGATAATTATAATCACTAATTTCACTATAGGTCGCAACATTTATTAGGATTCACTACCTATTCAATGGTTGTGATTATCAAATCTAATTTTTAAGTCCATGTAATATTACTCATTAATTAATTCACTCACAATCAATTTCACGGCATTCCCAACATCCAAATTCAATTGGCACAACAATGGTTGAATGGATATCAAACAATCATTTCAACAAACATATAGTACACGTGTGTGCAAACATTCACTATTATATACGATAAACAATAAAATAACATGAGCGATTTGTTAATGCAAAAAAATTAAATCGAAAAATATTGCGGGAAACCTTCTCGGTTCACTAAAACCTAAGCCACTAGTTACTAAATCAACAAATAAGTACTTAAGTCTTATATATCAACCAATATAATGGTTAGATATTCATTTCCTTGTTGTCCCTTTGCAAAATGCCCTCATTTGACGTCTAGCATAGCTTCACTTAGACCTCCCTCGTCGCATGGTTTGTCTATGTCTTGAGCAATCATGGACACGCCAACAATTCCTGGTATACACACACCAATTGTCAATGGTTTTGGTTTTAAACTATCAAGATCTTCAACACCAAATTATGAAGTTTGGTAAAAATCTCTACTGATATGCTAGAAAATAGCACATAAATTACAGACCTAAAGTTTGTAAATTACATATAAATTATAGACCTGAAGTTTGTAAATTATTTTGATACCAAAAAATCACAATTTAAGTTGTAGAGCCTAAAACTCGTGAATAAAATTGTGTCAACAACACTTGAGATATTAATTGATACCTTCGGCATGTTTCTCATTATATTCATGCATATATGTATATTTTTTTGCCAGATTCGTTAAGACCTATAAAACTATCTGAGATGGTTAACCTCACCTTGAGGGTGTGGAGGTTGCTGGTTTAAATCTATTATCTAGCAATTGTAATAATAAAAAAAATATTTTTATGTTGATGCCAAATTGATCCCACTGAGAACTAAAAGGCTACCGTGGGCTTAATATAGTAATTTATACTTTGACACCCCTTTTTATTAACTAGTAATGCACGATGTGTCTTGCATGTGAATAATTTAAATAATATTTTTTTGTTGAATATATGAAAATATAAATTTTATGTGCAATTAAATTAAATAATAAATTTGGGGTCAAAAAATTAATCTATATTTTATTTCTTTGTTAAACCTAATTATTAAAAAAAAATTAAATATAACATATATTTGATCTTAGAATCCAATTTGATGGCTATATGTATATAATAATATAATATNGAGTTTAAAAGAAGTTAAAAGTCAAATTATGTATAAAAATAAAAATTATATGAAGGTGCACATAATTAATTTTATAAAAAATAGGTTGGTAATATACGACGTGTGAACAATTTGTTAAACTTATAAAAATATTGATTATATGTGTAATTGAATTGAATTGAATAAATAAATTATGTGTTTGAGAATTAATTCTTATTTTAATTTTTACTAAACGTAGTTATTAATCTATACATGTATTATAAAGTAATTTGAGTTATTAGAGTTACTATTATAATTAAAGACCTAAAGCTATAAGAATAAATCTATACTACTTTAAAATGTGAGTGTACATGCAAAATATTTTTTTTCCACTTTTACCTTCTAAAACTACAACTATGTCACCATTATCCTTCAAAGTTAATGTCACACTAATTTTATTTTTCTCTTCTATCCTCAAACAATTATATAAAGACAATTATATCATATTTTCTAATTTAACTCTTAGAACACCCCTTCGTCTCTTACGTATTCACCACTTNATCTATATTTATACTACTTATAAATGTCAGTATGTGTGAAAAAATTTTAATTTCCTATTTCACCCTTAATTATTATCATAAAATCAATTATACCCACATATTTTTCTATCTTTCATACCTACTTGACTTCCAAAATATTAGCTAGATAAAATTTATCTTTATGACTTAATAGATAAACTTTATCAAAATATTAGCTAGATAAATTTTATCTCTATGACAATACATTTTTTCTATGACAATACATTCTTTCTTTTCCATTCAATTATACAAACTCTACTAGAATTCTAATACCACATATTGGTTATTTTTAGGTGATACATATACATATATTTTTTTGTCTTTCCTACTTATTAGATTTCTAAAATATTTTGAATCCCTTCATGTATATATATAAACTTTATATGTATGACAACACATTCTTTCTTTTCTATTCAATTATACAAACTCTACCAGAATTCTAATACCACATATTGGTAATTTTTAGGTAATACATATACATATATTTTTTTGTATTCCTACTTATTAGATTTCTAAAATATTTTGAATTCCTTCATATATATATAAATTTTATNTATTCATTTCCTTGTTGTCCCTTTGCAAAATGCCCTCATTTGACGTCTAGCATAGCTTCACTTAGACCTCCCTCGTCGCATGGTTTGTCTATGTCTTGAGCAATCATGGACACGCCAACAATTCCTGGTATACACACACCAATTGTCAATGGTTTTGGTTTTAAACTATCAAGATCTTCAACACCAAATTATGAAGTTTGGTAAAAATCTCTACTGATATGCTAGAAAATAGCACATAAATTACAGACCTAAAGTTTGTAAATTACATATAAATTATAGACCTGAAGTTTGTAAATTATTTTGATACCAAANTTATTTAATGTCAAACAATTTTCTAAGAGATTAGTGTGACAAGTCAAGTATTCGGCATAATAATTGAGATTAATTTATTAATTTTTATTTTTTAGTTTATTAAATTGGTGTGGTAGGTCAAGTATTCGACATAATTGAAATTAGTTTATTAATTCATATATTTTAGTTTATTAATTCCTATGTTCTGTGGCATTTATTTATTTTTAATTTAATGTCAAACAGCTTTCTAAGAGATTGGTGTGACAGGTCAAGTATTCGGCATAATAATTGAGGTTAGTTTATTAATTCTTATGTTTTAGTTTATTAAATTGGCGTGACAGGTCGAGTATTCGACATTATTGAGGTTAGTTTATTAATTCATATGTTTTAGTTTATTAATTCCTATGTCTATGTTAAAATTTTCTATGTTAGTATTTCTTTATTTCATTATAACCTCTCGTGAATCCAATTTTTCATTGCTCATATAACAAATATTTTGAAAGCTTGTCCAAATCTTAGTACTCTGTAATCAAATTTATTAAACTTAATTTTTCTCTGCTCATATTCTATTATAGCATTATAAATAAAAATTGTATGTTCCAAAAATTCGTTATTCTAACTGTAAGAAAAAATATTTAAAAAAATAGTTAAAGTTAGGTACCACACCCAAAAAAAACGTTAATGTACTATGTATTATGTTTTTGAGTATTTTTATATGTACAATGTTTTTGAGTATACCTTTACAAAAAATAATTCAATTTTATTACTCATCAATTTTGTATTTCAAATAAATTTAATAACAAATTAATTAACTAAATTTTTTTTACGTGCAACGAACGTGTGCATTGCTAGTAGAACAAATGGATAAAGACTTAATACCATATGATAAGAAGAATTTTGATAGGACATGGAAGCAAAAATAATGAAATTAATAAAAATATGGAGGGTATGATTGACTTAACATTATTAAATAGGGATGAAATAGAAAATCAAAAATTTTTCACATAAATTGTTACTTAGAGCAAAATTGTCTAATACGAGATCATTTTTCATAACTTTCTACACCGCATGACAAAAGAAAATGGTACATCACAGAGACGAAAGTATAGTAAACGATGGCAAGCTGAAATGCATCTTATGGAACACAAAAGGATTCATTGATTTTATTCCAGCCAAAAATTTCAGTCAACATAAGGAAATACCAAGCCAAAATTCGAGAAACATACCCCTTCCAAAGCACAATAGTTAAGTTGGACTACCTTCAAGCATCCATGTCTTGTTGGAGCAGTGTAAGCTACAATGATATCTACGGTGCAGTAAAAGACATGCTATATTAATAATCTCCAATATGACTAAACATGATTATATTTGATTTTTTTAAATCCAAATGATTTTATAATTTTAAG